CTCCTCCTCCTCCTCCTCCTCCTCCATCTCACGGTCGGGCTTGCGCCCGAGCCGCCTAGCTGTGCGTGCACGCTTGGCGCCGCGCCTGATGAAAATTTCCTCCTCCTCCTCCTCCTCCTCCTCCTCCTCCTCCTCCTCCTCCCTCCTCCATCCTCCTCCTCCCCATCCCTCCTTCCTCCTTCCTCCCTCCTTCCTCCTTCCACCTCCTCCTCCTCTCCTCCCCCTCCTCCCTCCTCCCTCCTCCCTCCCCCCTCCTCCCCCCCCTCCCTCCTCCCTCCTCCCTCCCCTCCTCCTCCTCCTCCTCCTCCTCCTCCTCCTCCTCCTCCTCCTCCTCCTCCTCTCCTCCTCCTCCTCCTCCTCCCTCCCCCCTCCTCCTCCTCCTCCTCCTCCTCCTCCTCCTCCTCCTTCTCCTCCTTCTCTTCCTCCTCGTCCAACTTCCAACTCCTCCTCCCCCTCCTCCTCCTCCTCCTCCTCCCTCCTCTTCCTCCTCCTCCTCCCTCCTCCTCCTCCTCCTCCTCCTCTCCTCCTCCTTTCCCTCCTCCTCCCCCCCCATCCCTCCCCCCCCCCATCCCTCCCTCCCTCCCTCCCCCTCCCTCCCCCTCCTCTTTCCTCCTCCCTCCTCCTCCCCCTCCTCCCTCCTCCTCCCTCCTCCTCCTCCTCCTCTCTCCTCCTCTCCTCCCGCCTCCTCCTCCTCCTCCTCCTCCTCCTCCTCCTCCTCCCTCTCCTCCTCCTCCCTCTCATCCTCCTCCTCCTCCTCCTCCTCCTCCTCCTTCTCCTCTCCTCCTCCTCCTCCTCCTCCTCCTCCTCCTCCCCCTCCTCCTCCTCCTCCTCCTCCTCCTCCTCCTCCTCCTCCTCCTCTCCTCCTCCCCTCCTCCTCCTCCTCCTCCTCCTCCTCTCCCTCCTCCTCCCCCTCCTCCTCCTCCTCCTTCTCCTCCTTCTCCTTCTCCTTCTCTTCCTTCTCCTCCTCCTCCTCCTCCTCCTACTCCTCCTCCTTCCGTTGCCATGTTGGCTCGGGTGCCATTAGGGGCAGTCACTTGGGCGGGCAGCTCTTGTTGAAAGAGCGTTTTTGGGGCCGATCCCAAGCGGACACCTTCCCTTTTCTTCTGTTCGATCTCCGTCCTCTGGCACCGCCGCCATGGGAGACTCCGCCGATGTGATCTCGAAGCTGACGCAGGTGATTCAGAACACAGCCTCGGGGTTGCAGGCGCAGCTCGAAGCTCGCTTCCTTGCCATCGAGACCAACGTGTGCACCCCGTCCCAGCATGTTGGCACCGCCGAGACCCACATCACCGCGTTGATCAACCAGCTCAAGGATGTTGTCAAGACACAACATCAACAAGGGCAGGAGCGGCAGGTGCTACGACCAAATCGGCCAGCATCGCCGGCTGCTTCCACAGCGTCTGGGACGCAGCACTCGTGGGCATCTCGGCTCGCCGATGGTGACGGCAACAAGCGTCGTCGCGGAGAAGATGACACGGGGGGTGACCCAACCACCAAGTTCATCGGCAACTTTCCCCGTCTTGTGCTTGAGCGAGTTCGGCGGCTTCACTATGTTGGCCTGAAGGCGCAGTTCCCCGACCTCCTCGCCAATATGGAAACGAAGTTCTTCGCAATTGCTCAGAGTTACCAGATCATGTTCACGAACAAGAGTGACGCTGCAGCTTTTCAGAGTGAGGCTAACCGTGCGGGTGTGGTTTGGACGGATCCACGGTCACAAGCTCAATTTCAACTACGTGTGCGAGCAAACCTCCCACAACCTGCTCGTAACAAGAAGCGTGCGTTCCACAAACTGTACCTCCCTGTGCGTGAGCTCTTGCAGGCATCTTACTTGTGGTCGCCCGACTGCCAGCTCGGCATCGACGGGTTCAGAGGAGTGGTGAGGGTCAAGAACGACACAGCTGTATGGAACCTGACCGAGATCAAGCAGGCGAACATCCGCAACGGTGAGGAGCACTTCTGCTTCGAACCCAACTTCGTCGACCTCGAGGAGTGGGGGATCAGCAGGGAGACGATCATGGCGATTCTCCAGACCGAAGCACCGCCGTCTCCAGAAGGTGAGGATATGCAGATCGGAAGGCCTCCTTCGCAAGCAACTAATGTTTCCCAGCGTGCTGTGCCTGCGTGCAGTCCCTCGCCCCCCTCCTCCCCCGACTCCAGCTCCGATTCCGGCTCCGACTCCAGCCCAGACAGCACGGAAGGTGGACTTGGGCCCATGCCGTATTTGCCAGATCATAAGTTCTCACTTGTGACGTGGAACGCGCACGCCGTGTTTGGATCCGTGCGGGGCAGTCATGACATGCAAGCTCGTGCGTATAAGTGCGTGAGTGATCTTATGGGCGCACACGACGTTGCATGCATGCAGGAAACGCACGGCACGAAGGGTGATGTGTACACGCTTGAGAGAGATTTAAAGACCACCTTCATTTTGGCAGCTTCTGCGTTGATCAACCAGGCGCTGGAGGTGTCGTCACCAGTATTCGGAAGTCGCTTAGGAACCAGTTTGACAGGGTAGCTTTCTCAGAGATTGTGAAGGGGAGAATCGCGTCTTTGAGATTGTATGGGGGCGCGCGCTTCACTTCAGATTATCAACATTCACTCTGTCCGAGGGCTCACACATTGTGAACTGATTGGTCAGTTTCAGGGAGTGAAGCGTGCGATGTGTTCGGCAGCGACCACCACAGTATTTCTTCTTGGCGATTTCAATTTCCTTGAAGCTGGTGATGCTAGGTACTCTGGTCTGGAAGATACGGAGCGGTATGCACCGCCCAGGTTTGCGATTGAGTTTCGGAAGTGCTTCCCCGCCCTGCTCGAGATTGCCCCCGCCTCTCTCACGCATCGAGCGAAGGCTGATGGCGTTTTTTTTTTTCGCTGGCGCGCTTGGATCGCACATATACAAGTGGCACGTGTGTGCCCAGGCGCACACAACAAGCTGAGGGGGCGTTTGAAGCAGGAGTGACATGCAACAGCGAAGTCGCACTCGAGCGCAAGCGGGGTTGCCACACCTTGCGATGCGTGTACCAGGGCCCCCCAGGAAGCCTCAGGAGGCCCGACTTGGATACAAGAAGAGGCTCCGGGAGGCACCAGGATTGTGAGCGTTGTGTGTGATGTGTGCTTTGTGTGGTGCGTGCTTTTTGTGTGTTGTCGGTGTTGTGTGTGTATGCTGTGGTTGTCTAGCGTGCGATGCGTTGGGCGTGATGTGTGTCTCTGTGCGCGCATGTAGTTCTGAAGCCCCAGGAGGCCCCAGGCGGCCTCAGCAGGCCCAGGAGAACTCCAGGAGGCTCCGAGGCGGGGTCTGGGGTACCAGAAGGTCCAGAAAGCCCCAGGAGGCCCCAGGAGGTTCCAGGAGGCCCCCAGGAGGCTCCGAGGAGGGGTCTGGGGCTCGATTGTGGGGTGATTTTTCATGCGAAGCCACCATTCTCTGAGAACCGGGGTCAAACTACCATGTGTTCTTGAAGGTTTTATGTTAAAATGTTGAAATTCCCATGCGGCGATGGACCCTGACGTCACGATCTGCGTGAGGGGTGCCACCGATTTTCAGAATTTCGAGGATGTCCCGAGCGAAACGGCCAGAAAAATCGCGGACGCGTGCGCACTAATCGCCTCTGGGCTCTACTCCCTCGGAGAGGTGCGTATGAGAATGTGTATATATATATATACACACACACTAATTTACCTACTGCAGATGTTCTTGACCTGGCCCCTGAAAGTTGCACAAGTTGGCCCCCTACAGACTTCCGCAAGCCCTCTGACCATGCCCCTCTATATCTTAAACTTCAGAGCACTGGTAACAGACAGCGTTCACACAATAGCCCACCTTGGATTGCAAGGCACCCACGGTTTATGCCCATGTTTCTCATCTTCTACATCCTTCGGACCTCTCCGCTCACCCCAACGACCGACTCAAGGACATAAAACATGTCATGAAGCATGATGCTGTGCCAGTTAGATTCGACGTGCTCTCGGACGGTGCTGTCACTGATGAAGAGCGCTTGGCATGTTATTTGAAGTTATTGCGTGTTGCTCGTCCCCTACCCGCCCATGCCTGCCAAGATTCGTGTCCTGCTCTTTTCCGTCACCTTCTCGGTAAAGCTAAATATGTTATTCGTGCTTATCCTCCTCTCTCTCTCTCTCTCTCTCTCTCTCTCAGTACTTTGATGGCGCTCGCTGTGAATGGACCGACAGACCTGGGCTCTGTGCGCATGTTAGCGATCTTACCAGGCGGGTGCTTGTTGCCGAGGGTCAGGGAGTTGCTGCCCGCGATATGGCGCCATCTAAGAAAGAACAGCATCTCGCCATAATTCGCAGGCGATCGCGCGCATGGGCCAAGAATCGCCCGAAGATCTTCCTTGCTGCTGTCATAGACGACAACGGGTCTGAGCTTATCGAGGATGTTGCCATGGGTCAAAAGCTTTCCGAATACTCAAATACTGGGGCAACATATTTTCTCGGGCCGAGGTTGACTTCTCGGGAGCTTCCAGATTCCTGGACCTCCCCCCCCCCCCCCCCCCCCCCCCCCCCCTCCCGACAACTACCAGTTCACCAACTCCACCCACCAAAGGTTTCCCTGGATCCTGACTGAAGATCAGGGGCGCCCTGTTTGACATGAAGAGCGCCTTTCCGTCGGTGCACCATTAATGGCTTTCTCTCGTGCCACAGAGGTGGGGCCCCCCTGCTTTCTTCATCAACTGCATCCGTTCACTGTGCATGCGTGTGTGGTGTAGCATTTCTATGCGGGGCTCTGACGCCGGCGGCTTCTGGGCTCTACGTGGGGTCAAACAAGGGGATGTTCTTAGTGGCCTATTATTCACCTTCGCTTTCGACCCGATTATTCGTGCCATCGCTGAGCTTACAACTTCGCATGCTGTATATCCTACTGCGTTCGCTGATGATTTAGCTATTGCTGCTGCTGATCTGGTTCGTACCCTCCCTCACGTAGTCGGGATATTAATGGCAGCTACTCCGTGCTCTGGGCTTGCCCGGAATTTCTCGAAGTGCGCGCT